ATATTCCTTGACTCTATAATAATGTTCACATTTATATTAGGTATTTTTTATTTATAAGTCAGAAACTGATATGCACTACTATTCGGAGCATAACCAATAAACACAAAATCTACTATTTTTGGTCCAATCTTAGTCTTTTTAAGAACAGGAACTTCAACTTTTGCCAAACACCCCCACACTTTTAAGTATTTGTAAGAAGGCGATCGATCTTTCCACAATTCATAAGGAGTGTTGTTGGTCTTCTTGTGGGGTATTCTGTTAAGAACATAATTAGCAGACACTATTGCTTTCCCCCACAAATTTTGTGGTAAGCCTGAACTTAGTAACATGGCATTCATCATTTCTTTTAGGGTTCTATTCTTTCTTTCAGCAATTCCATTTTGCTGAGGAGAATAGGGTGCTATAGTTTGGTAAATAATGTCATGTTGTGCACAAAATTCATTTAATGGTGCATCATATTCACCACCCCTATCACTTCTAACCATTTTAATGGTTTACCAAGTTGATTTTCAACTTCTGTTTTGTAGAGTTTAAACATTTCTAAGGCTTCATCTTTACTTCTAAGTAAATAAATATAACAATATCTTGTGCAATCATCGATAAATGTTATGAAATACTTTTTGCCCCCTCTAGTTTGAACAAATTTTAGATCACATACATCAGTATGAATTAATTCTAGATGTTCGATTTTCCCTTCAACTGATTTAAATGGAGCCTTGGTTAGTTTCGCTTCTACACAAACTTCACATTTATGATTAGGATTAATTTCAAACTTTGATATATAATTTAAACCAATTAATCTACTCAAAGCATCATAATTTACATGACCTAATCTACCATGCCATAAATTCGACTCAAGAATATAAGCAAAAGATGTGTTATTCTCATTCATAGCAACTTTTGGTACAACTGTCATTACATTTAGTTTAAAGAGACCATCACTCATGTATCCCTTACAAACATACATACCACTCTTTGTTAATACAAATTTATCAGACTCAAATACAAGCCTAAAACCATTTTTACTTAACAAAGACCCAGAAACTAAATTCTTCCGGATGTCAGGTACATGCAGTACGTTGTTGAGGGTCAGTTCTTTCCCTGATGTCATCTTCAAGATTACTTTCCCTTGTCCAGCAACAGTAGAAGTAGAAGAATTTCCCATGAAAAGTTGTTCACCATTTGCTGCCTCATTGTAGGTAGTGAACATCTTCTTGTCCGCACATATGTAACGAGTTGCTCCAGTGTCAACCCACCACTCTTTGGGATTTCTAACCAAGTTAGCCTTAGACATCACAGCAGAAAGGTTGATGTCATTCACTCCGTCAGAGATGTAATCTAGTTCAGTTACATTGGCCTGATTGGTAGTCTTCTTGCTTGTACTTCCATGATCCTTCTTAAGACGGTGACAGTCAGAAGCCCGATGTCCAGTCTTGTCACAGTTATAGCATTTTCCTTTGAACTTCTTGTTGCTATCGCCTTGTTTAGGACCATCTCCAGTAAACTTCCTCTTTTTGTTATGTGGTTTATGAACTTGTTCAACCACATTAGCCTTGGACTCAATGGGATTTTTCTCATTCCTCTTTTCAGCCTTTCGGTTATCTTTCTTAATTCTCAGTCTTACAATAAGTTCATCCATAGTCATCCCTTTGCATTTATGTTTTAAATAATTTTTGAAATCTTTCCAAGCCGGTGGTAACTTTTCCACTAAAGCATTACTTGGAAAGACTCGCTAAGAGACATACCTTCTGAATGAATATCATGCAAAATTATCTGAAAACTTTGAACTTGAGAAATTACCATTTGGGAGTCTACCATAACAAAATCCAGAAATTTACCGACAACAAATTTCTTCGTGCCGGTATCCTCTGTCTTGTATTTTTTTCTCCAAAGAATCCCACAATTCTTTTGTTGACTTCAGAGGTCTGTAAACATTATACAGCATGTTGTCAAGGCCATTGAGGACGTAGTTTTTGCACAGGAAATCTGAATGTTTCCAAGCTTCTACAACGGCAACAACTTGCCGATTACTTTCACTCCCTTTAAGTGCTGGAGCCTCTTCATGGAGAAACCGAGCCAAATTTAGAGTTGTAAGATAGAACAGCATTTTTTGCTGCCATCTCTTAAACTCAGTATCGTTAAATTTTTTTGATTTTTCTCCATGATTTATTGGTACATGAACATGGTTCTAGATAGGGACTGGCGTTGGTGTAACAATCGGAGTACCACTACCAGTTTCAGTTGTAGTATCCATAATCTCTGATTACAAAAATTAGAAAAAATTAAAACACAAATTAATTTTCTAGTTACTAAAACTAGAAAATAAATGATAACACAAAATAATTTTATTTTCCTTGTTACTAAAACTAGAAAAATAAAATATCACAATAATTTTCAATAACACAAATTAATATTCTGCAATTGTTAACGACACCAGTATATTACTACTAGCTGTCAAAGAAAAGAGACAGTATATTAGTACTATCTGTCAAATAGCATAAACACTATTTGTTTTTCCAACCAGAATATGTCTTTATGAAATCACAGAAAATTAAATACAATGAAGATACCAAAATAAATTTGTCTTAAGATTGTCAGACAATCTTCACTGTATTTAAATAGATTAAATTATGTTGTGTACTACACAACAACCAGAATATAAAGAAATAAAGGAAATAAAAAAATAAAATAAATAAAAATAGATTTTATTTTGTTACAAAAACAAAATTAAAATTTGATTTAAATAAATAATAATAACACTGAAAATAAATTAAATAACTTACCGATTAATTCTTGAATAATAATCTGATCCAGTCCAGTGTTTGACACTGTGTCCTTAAGACAGATTCGTCTTCTCCACGGTAAGAATTTGGACGTCTATCTCCCAGGATGAAATGATCTACTACAAACAATAGCAGCACTACAAATTGTTTGCCTTACGAACACACTAAGTGTTTACACTCTTTCTTACAAGAAAATAATGCAACAAAATGAAGAATAAATTTGCAGAGCTCTTAAGGACAAAATTTATGAATTTTCTGAATCTTAAACATCAAATGAGGGATGTCCAATTTATAGATGGATTGGTGGCTGCAGGTTTTGAATTAAACAGGTACAAACCTATTTGAACAGGTATGAATCCTGTTGGTTTTTAAATTTAAACAAATTTGAATCTGTTGGGTTCATAATTCAAACAGATAAAAACGGGAAGGGCCCTGTTTGGGTGTAAAGTAAAACCGGGTTTAATTTGAATTCTGAATTTTATTTTACCAAAAATAAAATTAAATTCAAATGTTTTTGAACCAAAAAAATAGGTATTGGGCCCGACAAGCCCAACCCAACTTCACACCCGCGCCCAAGCCCGACCCAGCCCGCCCGACCGACCGGACGGCGGCGGCGTGCGTGTGTGGTGATTTTTGAGTCCAATGGGTCTAGCCCATTTTGCCCATAACCTCCCTCTCTAAAACACTTGGGTACCGCTTGGAGCACACCCCAAGTACCAAACCCATGTCTTATAAACCCATTCAAAACTTCCCACCAAATCAATGTGGGACAAGCCTTATTTAAACCTTTAAGGATTTTTCACCAAAAACTCCATTTTCATGGAGCATACTTTGGCTTCAATTTCTCATTCACTCGGTAATGGTTTTGAGCAACCAAATATACCACGTAAATCACAACGCGGCATAGAATGCGTTACCACTTTGATCCGCGAAAATCGACACTCGGGACCCACCTAAAAAATAGACCAAACTTAAGAAAAAAATTTAATTTTACTCAAAATTTTATAACCATTTCCAACATCTGCAAGATGGAGAATTGTTAGTGGCCTGTCCGGTCTTGACTTTCTCTCTGTAGAGAATATTCAATAACACAAATCCTACAAATTACTAGAATATACGTACCTCAATCATGTGTTACTTATATAGGACTATTTTGCCTCATCTTAGGTTTCCTTTTCTATCTAGGGCTCTACTTGCCTAGCAATTATTCTATATCTAAAGTTACTTTTTCTAATTGGGCTGAGTGTGATCTTCTCAATAGTCTCGTTCATATCCAACTGATCAGGATTCACATCCTCATTGAGATTTCACCACTTAGGAGTCTTACCCAACTCAAGAGTGACATCCTTAGTGGGGATTCACCACTGATGAGTCATATTCTTACTGAAGTTTGACTAATGACATAACCTTGACTAGTATTGTCACATCACATGACACCTCAGCCTGACCTAGTCAAGAACTTAGATTTACGTAATTCTATTAAAAAATAAGAGGACTTACACGTCTTAATAGGTAAAAATTTTGTTCAATACGTCTTATGAGAATTAATGACATTTTTTATCGAACACTATTAAAAACGTCACTAATTATTAATTTTTAGTGGCAGTTTGAAAATTTTATCACAAAAAATATCACTAGTTATAAACTTTGACGACGGTTTTAAAAAAAATGTCACAAAAAAACATTATTAACTTTTAATTAGTTTGAAAAATTCATCACGGAAAAAGTCACTAATTATAAGTATTAGCGATAATTTTTAATTTTTAGTGATGCAAAAATTCGTTAAAAAAAAATTTAGCGATAATTTTATTAAGACCACTACTAAAAAAAATATTTTTTGCGACCGTTACAAGTTGTCGCAAATAATAAAAAAACAGTCGCAAAAGACCTTTTGCGATGGCCTATGCGACGGTAAATGGGAGTCGCGAATGTGGGGGTGGCAAATGCTTTTTGCGACCGCAAAACAGTAGTCGCAAACTATTTACGACAGCCTAATCTACTCATGGCAACTAATGTTTTGCCATCACAAAAAAAATTTAAAAAATGCCTACAATTTATTAGCGACCATCTTGTTACCATCGCAAAAAATTATATAAAAAAAAAACCTACAATGTTTTAACAATCTATATTCGTATATATATATATATATATATATATATTCAAATATTATATACAATAAATGTAAAGTGATATTTGCAAAATTCTATTACACATGTATTATTTTCCATCACTTCCCTCATCAAAATTATATTTCTTCAAAAAATAAAAAATAAAATGTGCATACAAAATATAAACTTCTATACATGCAAAACAAATATCCATCAAACCATCCTTAAAAGTATTTATACAAAATACTAATAGATTCAAGTACTAAAAAAAAAAAAAATTTCTCAATTTAGCTCTCAATATCACCCACCCAATCATATCAACTACTCCCTCAACACTACCTACAAAAATATACATCAATATATTAGACATCATTCAAATTATGTTTTCTTGAGCAATAAATACCTATTTGGTTCATTTTAAACAGTCAAACAGTTTAGGCCTTCAAGCTTAAATGGTTTTTTTGGGTAAGTTCAAAGCTTAAATGTTATGCAAAGCAAACCACTTGAAAATGTTATATCCTGCAAACAAGAAATAATTCTTCTTGCAAATAACATTTAAGCTTCCTGTACTACAATATAGATAAGAAGCAAGACTGCCAATGCACACACAAAACCTGTAAACAAGAAATAATTCTTCTTGCAAATAAGAATATAAGAAAGAAACTAACCATATTCTTCTGCAATTTCATTCCAATCAAGTAAAATTTCCTCCCTCTCAAATCCTCCTCTCCCGCAATTGACAACAGTCTCCACCCAACCTTTGCTTTCAGTTGCTAACCTCTTACAAAGAACCGGGTATTCCTTACCTTTTGGAATGTGTTTAAGCTTTGAAAAATTGTAGTTCAAAAAAATCCAAATGCAACTGAAGATATTAAAATATAATGATGAATGAGGTGTTGATATTATGCTAACTTGCGCTATTTCTTCATATTGTAGTATAATATACATATATGATTTTATTTTTAGAAACTGATCTTAATTCAATCAAGCCTTCTCAATAAATATTCAACTTGAACTTCCTTTGTCAAGGGCATGATCTAGTCCCTATATAGGTCAGCAACCAAGCTTGGTTTTATTTTGCATACCGGATCAGCTCCGTCTTCCTCTACATTATTATTATCAATCACCTCTTTTCCGTAAGCTTTGGCTTTCATCTCTACACTACTCTTTATCGCCTCTTCCACAGTGGGATACGTCAGCAAATCCATTAGTCGAGTCCTGTCCTGCAAAATCACAAGCACCACAATTAACAAAATCAAAGTGATCATGACCTGTTTCAGCACACAAGGTTTTGAAAAAGTTATACTAAAGGAATGGATGCACTAGCTGCATCTGAAAAATAAAATATAAACTTGTGCTCTAATGGCAGCTTCATATGCATCTAGTGAAGCTCAAAATTTAGCCTCTGCTACAAATTTACCATAATGAATTCTCTTTGAGAGAGCTTGCAAACAAAGTACAGCAATACATAGAAGGAATAGTTGCAAGTTAGAATGATTGGTTAATCCCCAACACTACGTTAAATGCCATGCTTTGCGATATATAAAATACATATCGAAAAACGTTATGCTAATATATATATATATATATAATTAGTCAGCATATATCTACAAAAGCAACAAATCCATCAATTACTTTACTTCTATCATGAGAAAAAATGTTGGATCATTAATGTAACTATTGAACACAGTAGGCAGTCACTAATACTCAGCAAATGGATCATTCACTGTTTTACAATGGGGAAAATGTCTTGTCTATAATTCAACGTAGGATATTCAGTTTAGGCTGCTTGCTTTACCATTTGTAGAAAATTAAACATGATGAGCTTCATGGACAAAATCAAATTAAAAACAAATCATCATCTACAAATAGGTGTGTTAAAGCAAGCACACACTCAGAAGCATTAAAATGCAGCTCACAGTACATTACTGCAGTAAAATCATCTCCTGTTCCAATAATTCACAGTTCAAACTAATCGAGATTAATTATATGTTAAAAATGTATACCTGCAAGCAAATTGTGTCACAGACTGTAGCTGAACCGTAGTTACCATCATCTCCTTCCCTGACTAGTCTTGTAAGAAGATCCCTAAAATACATATCCCATATTTTATTGTTGATATTGATTGCACCAGCGATGGGATGAAGAACCTATTTGAATATATAAAACAAGGGGCTATGTCAGTGATGGCTGGCATAAAAATTTGCAAACACAAACAAGTGCATAGTGAGAAAGAGAGAGTTTAACAATTGTAATAGTTGATACCAAGATTTTACTAAATTAACATCAAGATTACATTCTACACTTGGATTTGATAAAGTTTCATGCATGTAGCAAATCTATGTGGTTGACTTCATCAAATTAAATTGAGCTCAAGAAGTCATGAACAAGAACCCTCCAAGTTTGCCATCTTCCAATCCAAAGTTCATAAATTTGCATGTTACGCATTATGTTACAAGCTATGTCAATCATAATTCTGGCTCAGAGTAAATTAACTAAAACCATTGTATCTATTGTCTTACCTGAGGGTACTGCAGAGGTGGCAGCATTGGATCTGGTAAGTCATCTAGGAAGAAAGGATGCTCATTGGGACTCTTGTATCTTCCAACATGATATGCACTAAAAAATAAATCAGAAACTAGCAATAAAATCATTCTATTTTCCTCCTTTCATAAATTAAGGCATAACATACCCGAGCACGAAGCTTTTCAGTTTCTTTGACCATGAAATCAACCGAGCTGTGGAACCCATCCATGAAGAAAGCATTAGGGTCATATGTGTCAACATTGAAACAATATTGAGCTCTCTCCAGGAGGCTAAATATGATGTTGTCCTCTTGTCGAATTAAAGAATGCCTTATACCCTCTGGAGTAATATGAACATTAAAATGTTTCCAACAGATTGAGTACAATAACTACTATACAACAAAGTCGAAAAAAATAAAAAGAGAGAATGATTTTGAGCAGCCACTGTTCAGAAAGATGATAACCAAGCGATACACATCTGCTCCATCATATGGATTTCACCAATAAGCAGAGCATTAACAATTGAAAGTAAAATCATATCGTATATACAGATAAACAATGGCCTCCAAGTGCCACAGAACAATACATCAGTAGTTTAGCATATTTATTTCTTGAAACCATTCTTGTTGCAGGTTTCCAAGTAAAACATTCATAGATGAACAATGGCCTCCAAGTGCCACAGAACAATGCAAATGAAAAGATCAAAAACACTAATATATTCAATCATGAGCATGTCATCAAACAGAAAAAAAAAAAGATTGACTCATTGAATATAACAGCTATATAAACAATAAAGGATTGGATTGAATAGCTATATAATCTATTCGATTTTGTTATTTATTGAACACTATAAGGTCCGAATCTATTTTCAAGCAAATTACATAAGAGATGACAGAAATTTGGATATAGAAAATACACATTCATCATTTTCGCAGCACAAAACTGAAATCAAATACACAATTAATACAGAAAATACACAATTATTTATTGAACGCTATAAGGTCTGAATCTATAAAAGCTTCGTAAAAAATACACAATTATTTATATCTCCTTGCTCTAACTTTCAAATCCAGATTAGCTGATGTTACACATGCTCCAATCTAACATGACAGAAAATAATAATAATAATTCGAATTCAGAACTGAAATCAAGCAAGTTCAAAGCAAGTTCATCATTTTCGCAGCACAGAAAATACACAATTAAGAATTGAATGGTTCAGCTTGTACCTGTAGCAGATGAGGAAGGATTGATTCAAACCAAAGCTTCGTCTAAAGGTGATCTGCGGTTGCGACTATAGTGAGTTCAGATGATAAGAAACAAGTGATCGAAGTAGAGAGACAAAGAAGTTGAAATACGCATGAATGATTCGAAGAGACTCACTGAGACGAGAGAGAGAGAGAGAGAGAGAGAGAGAGAGAGAGAGAGAGAGAGTTCATACCGTTGGAGGTCACTTCTTCAGACGACCATGGTGATCTATAGAGGGAAATCGAGAGAGGGAAATCAGATTCTCTTACTCACACACGATCGAGCGAAATCAGATTTGGGGGAAATGAGAGTCCAGGGGAAATCAGTCTCTGTTAGGGCATAGGTATAATAAAAGGAGGGTGCTATTGCAAATATTAGTTTTTGCGACGGTCAAATAATCAGTCGCAAAAACATTAGTCGCAAAAAGCCAATTTTCTAGTAGTGATTATTATTATTATTATTATTATTATTATTATTATTATTATTATTATTATTATTATTATTATTATTATTATTATTATTATTATTATTATTATTATTATTATTATTATTATTATTATTATTATTATTATTATTATTATTATTATTATTATTATTATTATTATTATTATTATTATTATTATTATTATTATTATTATTATTATTATTATTATTATTATTATTATTATTATTATTATTATTATTATTATTATTATTATTATTATTATTATTATTATTATTATTATTATTATTATTATTATTATTATTATTATTATTATTATTATTATTATTATTATTATTATTATTATTATTATTATTATTATTATTATTATTATTATTATTATTATTATTATTATTATTATTATTATTATTATTATTATTATTATTATTATTATTATTATTATTATTATTATTATTATTATTATTATTATTATTATTATTATTATTATTATTATTATTATTATTATTATTATTATTATTATTATTATTATTATTATTATTATTATTATTATTATTATTATTATTATTATTATTATTATTATTATTATTATTATTATTATTATTATTATTATTATTATTATTATTATTATTATTATTATTATTATTATTATTATTATTATTATTATTATTATTATTATTATTATTATTATTATTATTATTATTATTATTATTATTATTATTATTATTATTATTATTATTATTATTATTATTATTATTATTATTATTATTATTATTATTATTATTATTATTATTATTATTATTATTATTATTATTATTATTATTATTATTATTATTATTATTATTATTATTATTATTATTATTATTATTATTATTATTATTATTATTATTATTATTATTATTATTATTATTATTATTATTATTATTATTATTATTATTATTATTATTATTATTATTATTATTATTATTATTATTATTATTATTATTATTATTATTATTATTATTATTATTATTATTATTATTATTATTATTATTATTATTATTATTATTATTATTATTATTATTATTATTATTATTATTATTATTATTATTATTATTATTATTATTATTATTACCAAATAGATAATGATCACACTTATTATTATTATTATTATTATTATTATTATTATTATTATTATTATTATTTTCAAACAATATATAGATTGCACACACAAACAAAATAGTTGAGTGATAGTAGCTGAATAGAATAGCATAGGTCTTACAACTTCAATAAATCAATAACATGTTCTTCGTCTTCCCTCTTCTCTCTCTCTATCTCTTAATCCTCCATCTTCCCTTTTTATCTTCCCTCTTCTCTCTCTATCCCTCTTCCCCCATTTTTAGTTTTTTTTTTTTTTGTATGTGTTTTTTTGAAAGAAGCAGGTCAGAACCATTACATATCAGTGCGTAATAGGTCGTTACAACTGTTACGGCATTGTTACAACCGCTACGGTAGCAGCTATGGTAGACACACCTGTGAATCTCAATCACACTACAAAAGCAGCTGTAACGGGTGGCGGTAACCATCACAACCGTTATGTAACGGTTGAAACCGCTGTTTAAAACCTTGGTTACTAGTAACTTCTATATTCTAGTTTTACATATAAAAATATTTAAAAAATAATAAACAAATGAAAGATTTATTAAAAAATCATTTTTCAAGTGTTTGTATCACAATTAATCCATAAGATATTCTTGTATTATAATAAGTCCTATTATTTGAACATTTGATCTACTAAATCATAATTCTCATATTTAAGGTATTTTATGAACATTTCTATCCTTATAAATATTTTTTCAACAGTTAGAAATTTGGTGATGTGAACATTCATATTTTGCAATGTGAATATTCACATTGACGTGTGAATATTTACATTGACAAATATTCACATTGACATGTTAACATTCACATTGATGGTGTGAACAATCACATTGGCGATGTGAACATTCACATTGACGGTATGAACATTCACATCATGGAACATTCACACTGTAAATGTGAATATTATTAGGGATATTTTGATAACTATGTCACCCATAGAACTTATTGGAATATAAGAAAATAATATGAACTAAATGAAACATAAGTAGGTGAAAATGGATTTATAAAAAAGTGCCCATAACCAAATATATCAAGATTTATATCGATTTAAAACCAGAAATCAAAACCTAAGTTAATAAAAACTGGATGAAATTGACGATTTGGACCAAACTAGATCGATTTACTAGTTTTACCTATTATTTGAAGAGATAATTGTTGAAAAGTCTAAGTTAAGGATGGTATAAGGTATTAGGTCTCGTGAATATTTTCTAAAGAATATTTTGGTTTTAATTTTGCCCCTTAATTTATCTGTTGACTTTTGTTGACTTTCGTTGACTATCTGTTTAAATTTATATCTATATGTTCAAATTATTTTCTATTTATTCAAATTTATATCTATTTATTCAAAATTTTTTATATATCCGTTTAATTGTTTTGACCAATATGTTGAATTGTTTTTATCTGTTGAATTTTTATAATCTACTTTTTCTATCTATTTAGATTAACACAATTTTTAAACTTTCTTTCTATATGTTTCTCTCTCCACATCTATTTTCTCTCTATCTATTGAAAAATTTCACTCTTTCTGTTTTATCTGTTGAAATGACTCTTTCTTCTCCATCTCAATACCACCTTACATCTGTCTATTCAAATATTCTTTCTGTTTAAAATTAAGCATATCTGTTTAAATCTATCTGTTCAAATATTTTATCTATGTAAAAAAATTTATCTATTTAATTTTTTTAATTTTTTCCTGTTCAAATTTGTTCAACTATTATTATCTATTCAAATTTTCAACAGATCTATCATGTTATCTGTTTCTTCATCATCAACATTATCAATAACAACAGATTAGGGGGGGAAAAATCTATTTCATCACTACATATATATTATAGCATATAGAAAAAAAAAATATCTCTCTTCTCTCTTCTTTTCATCTTACTAAACCCCAAAGTCACACATATTGCAATATGTTTTATCATCATCATCATCATTAACCCCAATAACAACAATAATATCATATCTAAACTTATATCTAAAAAATAAATAAAAAGATAGAATCGAGAGAGGGGGAGACAGAGAAAGAGAGAGAGAGAGAGAGAGAGAGAAATCTCAGAGGTGGCAATTCAGATTAGAGATGACGACAGAGAAGAGAGAAAAGAGAAAGGTAGATCGGAGATAAGATTGGCGGCGAGATCGACACAGATCGATAGAGGAGTAGTGGCGGCGTCCATTTTTTCAAATCTTAAGGAAGGGTGTTGACAATAATGATCGAGTTGTTGGCGATGACAACGACGGTGAGAACTAGTTTGGATGGAGTAGGTAAGTTAGTTTTAGCCTTAGTGTCGCGGAACTCCCTTGCCACCGAGTCGTACGCATGCACCGCCTCCTCTGCAGTGTCGAAGGTGTCAAGTTAGATGCGGCTTTTCTTGCCAAGATCTAGGATCTCAGCGGCATACCTTCCCTATGGCCTCTTCCTCACACCTCTATAGTGAGTCTCCTTGCTATTGACAATTCTACCGCCGTTGACAGCGGCGATGGTGGTGGTAGTTTTATCTCTCAAAACCATGTTTTTGCTTTGGAGTTTGGGGAATCGCAACAGGGTTTGAAAGAGCTTGGAGAACCCTAGATGTCTCTCTCTCTTTACTCTCTCTCATGGCATCGATCTCTCCGGCTCGACCTGCGCCGAAGATGCCAATTTCTCATTCACCTATTTAATGGTTTCTAAACCATTTTTCTAATAATCTCCCACATGAATGAAATGATGAAAAAGTATGCAAGACTCAATGCAGACTCAAAGAGATTTCAATTGGAAATATTCTAAATGGGGATAGGTAGCTTTTGGATTTAAACCTTCCTTAGAGAAAGACTATCGAACTTACTAGCTAATCAGTGGACGTGATGCCTTGAACTGTTCAACCGTTTGTGTAAGCCAAGGTAGTAGAATTCACACAGAATATCTCTAGACACAACTTAGTTCTCACGGTAGTGCCCGTTTTGGCCTTGGCCATATCCTGATGTTTCATGAGTGCTTTAGAGATTTTAGCCTTATCAATTTTTCATAGAAACGACCCATTCACACTCACATAGGTGATCCTTATTTTGAGTCTCTTAAATAATCCTCTTGAAAGATACCCTTCTAGATTTTTCGAGATATAAGTGATCATTAAAAGCATAGCTTACCCTAAGTCTCTTACATACAACACATGTTACAAATATTACTCTCATCATAGGAATGGATAGGAGATAGACTCCCTTAGTGATTTCTGGTGAGTCATCCATAATTCGGTTGTTCCTTTGAACCTATATCTTGGGATCTCCAGTCAATTAGGTTGGGTTGCCATTATGTTAAAAGGCTTTAATCACATTCCCCTCAATGAACTTTCCCTAATTTGCTCTTTGGTCAAACCTTTTGTTTAACAGTCGCTATTTTTTGTTTGACCTTCTTAGTTATATATTATTGAGTAGTTAGTAGATCCACTATATTATCCTTAGACAATATTCAAAACTGAAAGCAAATGTCCTACGATATTAAGTCTTTGATTACATTGAGACTTACCGTTACTCTATGTCACTCCCATTTTCAAACCAAATAATAAACAAAGAAGTGTTCCTTAGGAGTTAATGAAACCATTTTTGCTTCTAGTCCAACTTTGGCCTATAGAAAGAATTGAAATTTTTCGTGGACCTGCTATGTGAACTGTTACTTTTGTAAAATCCTCCAAGCACTCCCACATTTTAAGTAATCTAAGAAAAATTGATTTTCTTATTAAGATATTACCACATGAAAATGTCAATACACCTCCACAATTTTGATATAAATCAGTATATAACATTCATCATTTATTGATTATGGTGTGCTTGAATCATAAAATTCCAAATCAAATTTACGAAATAGAAAATTCAGAATAATTATGACTA